TAGATCCGTGAATGGGGATGGAGAAGCCAGGCAGTGCCACGGGGCAGGGAACAGCTGCTAGAGCCCGTGTTGGCTCCCCAACTCCAGATTTGCTCCCAGCCTGGTGGCTTTTGAGGACTGTCCTCCATTTCTCTCTCCTGTTTACACTCACATGTTCCCTCCCCACCATCCCAATGGGAACGCTCCAGTCCTGCCCCGTGCCCAAGTTCTCCTGTTGTCTGTGGGCTGGGATGTTGCACAGGCTCCCAGCAGGCTGGTGCTGTGCGGCTGGGCGTTGGAAAGCCAGGATGGGGGGTCCCAGCCTGTTCAAGGGGTCCCAGCCCGTTCAGGGGGACATGGCAAGAGCAGAGCGGCTGGGGAGGTTGTTGGAAGACTGAGGGTTATCCTCACCCCCCTGCCCTGACTTGCCCTTGAGCAAAAGGCTGGCTGGCTGCCTGTGACCTCCTAGGACGAGGGACCTGGTGCCAAGGTGGACCCAAGTCCAAGGGAGGTGCAACTGCTCCATCTTTCTCCTCCCTTCCCGGCTTCCCCCAAATGCTGGCTCACGACGGCCGGGGGAACTCTGGATCCCTGGTTTTGGGGCATTAACATTCCACTTTGCAACCCGGGGGCTTGGCTGGAGTCTTCTCAGGGAGGGCACCTCGCCGTGTCAGGATGTGGGCGCAGTTTCTGCTGTTTTTTAGGTAGTGATAGGTTTAGATGTAGAGCAGGGCTGGAACAGATGGGGAGCACCTTCTCCATCCTCAGTGACGGAGGTCACCGGGGGGATTTGCTGAGGCTGCTGGAGCCCGGTGAGCCCTTTGAGGTTTTGCTCTGCTCCACGGCACACAGGTGGGGATGGAGAGCGGCTCCCCAGCTGCTTGCCTGCCCTGCTCCAGTAGTTTTTATGGTGAGGTGGTGGTCTCTTCTTGGGAGGGTGGGGGGAAGGACATTTAGTTCTTGACTAGCAATGGGATTTATACAAAACTACTTCAGGAAAACGGCTTTTGTCTGAACGGGGTAAATGCAATAGAGCGCACTGGGCTGCGTGTCTAAGCCTGGGCCTCGGTCCCGCTGCCGCGTTGCGGGGGGGCTGCTGGCCTTCCCCCAGCACCTCAGTCGTGCCAGGGAAACTGCTGCCCCCCCTAATTCTTGTACCTGTCTTGAAGAATCGCGTAGGACCTTTCCCCCCTGGCCCCCAGTTTAATGGTTTGGTGATTTTTCTGCTAGTGTGTGTAAATACCTCTGTAAATCTTTCCATTTTCTCTCAGTATTCTCCTTGATTATTGTTTACAAAGGTAAGGGGGGGGGAAGAAAAAAAAAAAAGGGAAAAAAAATAAAAATAGCCAAAGCATCTAATAGGTTATGGACCAGGGAGACAGGATCTTCTCTGTGTACTCTGCCTTGCAACTCTGTGTGGGGATATGAGCTCTGTAACCATCCCTGTCCTAGGCTAAAGCAAATAGCAAATGGCTTAGAGAATCACTCAGGTTTCCCCCGGGGCCAGCGTGGTACTGGGATCCAAGAAAACAGGGATTTTTATCTGTCAAGGAAAGCCACGTTCGAGAAGGTGGGATTGATTCGCATCTTCTCGTTGCATTTGCCATTGTGGTTCTTCCCGTATCTTGACAATAATTAACTAAATTGCTGCGTCATCACCCACCCTGCCCATGCTCGGCTTGCAGGCGCTGGGCACTATGCATTACAGGACAGTGAATCGCGGGCGGATGAGGCTGCAGACTCAGGGTCCTGCTGTAACACGGAAGCGTTTTGAATGTATGAGGAAAAGATGGCCCTCATGAGAGGGCGTCTCCCCTGGTGCAAAAGCCTTGAGTCACAAGATTGTCTACGAGGAGACGGAAGAATGTAATCCATGTTTACTGCTAGCAACCAAAGCTTGTTTGTGTCAAACTCTTGAATTTTTATGAAGTGGGTGGGAGGGAGGGAATAATGGGGGTGCCTGTGTGTGGCTCAGGGGTTACCTCCAGCCGCGCTTTCCAAAGAGATTTCCTGCGGGACTCTGAAGGGATCCCTGCAGCGAGATCCCCAGCTCCTGGTGCTGCAGGTTTTTCCCCCTCCTTTCGTTTTTTTTTTTTTTTTAAAATGTTTTTGTACCAACTATGTAAAATGTGCTTTTTTTTTTTCTTTCCTGGAAAAAAAAAATAAAGACCATGGGCAATGTCTGCTGGTGATGTTCTGTGTGTGGTTACTCTTTTTCTTATTTTTTTTAACTCCCTTGGGGTTGAGAAGCCCAGAATCAAAATGGGTGCTGCCTGGGCGGACAGGGAGGGAGTACTGGGAACTGGGGTACCCCAAAGCTGCCTGGGCTTGTAGCTGATAACCAGCCTGGCTGGGTGCCAGCCCCCCCACACCCCACCCTGGCCTCACCACCAGCCTGCGGCGGCCT